GGCCGAATAGGGAGCTCCACTGAAGGCCCAGCGGCATGCATTGCATGCCGCCCCCCGTCCTCTTTGGCACACCCCGCATGCGTTTCGTGGCCCCCTACGGAGCTCCACCGAAGGCCCCAGCGGCAGCTCCCGCATGGCGGCCCGGCCCCACTGCGGCGCACCCTTCGCGCGCTTTGTGCCCATCGGGAGCTCCACCTGAGGCAGTTCTCACTATGGCAGCAGTCACAATTCCATTTGGTTGGGCCATTCGCCAGGGTAGTTTCATTTGTGGTTACATTTCAAGGGCCTCTTGTTTTTGGGGGGGTCGCCAAGCAATGCCAAGCACTGCGCCCGTGCAGTAGGAAGCTTTCCCCTAATTGGGGTTGCGCCGGGTCCATGGGAATATTATGTTCCCCGGTCTTTCTGGACGCCCGAAATGGGTACTGAAAGAATGGGTGCAATGCCCAACAGCAGCTCCTGTTCATTTTGAACCGGGCTCGCTGTCCGCGCCGCCGCGGCCTGTGTCCATTCGAGACAGGAGGCCGCCTGCCCAACAGCGGCCGCTGTTGGTTTGGGACAACATTTGCTGTTGGGCATTGTGCCCATTTATTCGGTACCCATTTCGAGCGTCCCAAGTCTTCCAGACGCCCGAGACCGCCCAAGAGACCCGAACCCAGGAGGTCCCTGGAAGGCCCCAAGAAGCCCTTCAAACGAACTTTCGCGAGGCCCCGCAGAGGCTCTCCAAGGAGGAGCCTCCGCAAAAAGAGCTGAGGAGGATGGGGAATACTTCCAGGGTATGGCGAGAATGAGGAAGGGGAAGAGGATGAAGTATGAGGGGAAGATTACGGATCACATTATTATTATTACGGCGATTTGTCTAACAGGCACCAAGGAGTTATCGCTAAACTTGTTGTTTAAACGTCCTGCCCTTTCGCCTGCACATCAATTTTGAAGGACCAAGCTGCATTGCGGGGGCGACGAGGCCAGAGATCGGCGGAGACGAAACTGGTGGATAGCCCAGGGGGCGGGCATCACGTGTTCGCCGGGGAGGGTAGTCGAAGACATGGGCGATCGATCGGAGACCCCACATACAGTCGGACCGAGGTCGGTCGGGGGACGGTACCCGAAAAGTTCTTCGTGCTAGTTGGATGTTTTTGTGCACCCTGGGGGAGGATGCCCCCGAATGCTCTTCGTCTTGGCCGGCGTAGGGCCTCCTGTCCCAGGTCCGGCTGTGCATGAAATGGTCTCCCCGGGGCCATCCGCCCCTGCCGCAGCCGTCGAGAAAGGAGGGGTGCGCGCCAGGTCATGCCCTACGTGTGCACCATCACAGGCGCCGCGGGGGGTGCTGCCTCCTCGACCCCGTCGGCCACCCCAACCCCTGCGTCTCGTGTCCCTTCTCTTGTCCGCGCTGTCCTGGGAAGAGGAGGCGGAGGAGGAGGAGGAGGAGGAGGAGGAGGAGAGCAGGAGATCAGGAGCAAGAGGAGCAGAAGGATCAGCAGAAGGATGAGCAAGAGGAGCAAAAGGATGATGATGATGATGATGATGATGATGATGATGATGATGATGATGATGATGATGATGATGATGATGATGATGATGATGCTGATGATGATGATGATGCTGATGATGATGCTGATGCTGATGCTGATGCTGATGCTGATGCTGATGCTGATGCTGATGCTGATGATGCTGATGCTGATGCTGATGCTGATGCTGATGCTGATGAGGAGGAGGAGGAGGAGGAGGAGGAGGAGGAGGAGGGGGAGGGGGAGGAGGATGAGGAGGAGGAAGAGGAGGAGGAGGAGGAAGAGGAGGAGGTCAGAGCAGGACGGCCCCCCCTGCCATGGCAGTAGGAGTGACTGTATGTGGCCCGGGGGCAGAAGACGACGCTGCCCGTATTATGTGCTCCTGCCTCCCTCCTCGACTCCTCGATTCCTACCCTCACATAGGGAAGGAGGTCGCTCTCGAAGCCCTGAGTCCATAGCCTACGTACAGTCGGGGCGCTGAAGCAGAAGCTCTGTTCATTGGGGAGGGGCTCGGTGTTCCTTAATCGTTGTGCAGTTCTCCTTAGGTTTTCGAAGGGAAATCGAAACTTAACTCACGGAAACAAAGGGGCCTCGTTCCTTCTGTAGGGTTCCTTACAAGCACTGTTTGCGCGGTCGCATGCACGGGTTTCGGCCCTCGAAGAGCTAAAAAAAAGCGCCCCGATTGTGGAAGGTCGAGAGGGGCCGAGGGGCCGATGGGTGCATTGGAAGCAGGTGGGAAGCCCCTCTTGAGCGTTCTTCCTACTTTCCGAGCACGCAGTACGGTTGCACGGTCTGAGTAGCTCACGTCATGCCGCCCAAGTAGTGGATCCACCGCAGGTATCACAACATACGACGGGGAGGCCATTGCCTTCGACCCTGTTACCCAACAGGCGGAAACAGATGTCGCACCGTTTCCGTCTTTGGTGCCATACAGGTGCGTCACGGACGAGGGGCGTGAGGAGTGGCCAGGCACAACCCGGACCCGCTGCGCGCGCGAGGCCGCGACTGCTCAAATGTGTGTGTGCGTGTGTGTTTGTGTACGTGTGGGCATTGTCGTTTCCATGTGTTCGGGGTCTTCTCCCGCTGTCCAGGTCTGGGCGCGCAGATGACACAGTTGATACATGTTTGGAAATTTGCCCCATGTTCTGAAGGGCCGGCCGTGCGCATTCGTTGCGCTCTCTTTACTTGATCTGCTTTGCCTCGTCGCTGCGCGCGAGGCCGCGACGCCAAAAAGTGGGTGGATTGCATGGTCAGGGCCATGATATCTCACAGATCTCATGGCCGCCTCTTCTGTCAACGCATCCCTTGCCCGCCTCCGTCTTCCGCGCACGTGCCTCGGGCCAGGGTGCGCCACCACCCCTCATTTCTGGCCCTCACTCGGCGCACCCGAGCCGAGGCGATGCGTCCTTCTACCCTCCACTGGCAAAGAAGGGCCGCACGGAGCGGAGCGTGCTGGTGCACCGCATGATTGTGGCGCCCGAGAACACCATCGAGGACCAGGGGTGGAGGGGCCGCCTCGTCGCGCAGATGTGCACCAGCCTTTTGCAGACGGGGAGGGGTGGAGGAAGTGAGCGCGCGAGTGATCTTCCACAAGGTTCTCCACCATTCCAGGGGAGCCCGCACGATCCCTCAGGATTGCTCCAGATCCCCCCGTAGCATTGTTCAGGATTTTGCGGGATTCCGCACGGTTTATGGATTCCCCAGGGTTCCGGGCGGGCCATCAGGATCCATGCGGATTTTTCTGTGCCCTTCAGGGCGTTTGCGGATTATTGAGGAGCCTTCGGATTCCAGCAGGGCCACGCGTGGTCCTCAGGATTCATCCGCGTTCTCTCTGGTAAGTTTCGAGGATTCGTTTGGGCGTCTCCGGAGTCCGCACGGTTCCCCAGGATCCCTCTGGGTTCTGCAAGTCTATTCGGCTCCCAAAGATCATTTTGAATTCCACGGGGGTCCGAAGGACTTCTCAGCAGTTGGGCGTTGCAGTTCTAGGATTCCGTCTTTGAAAATCAATCGCCAGTACGATGCAAATGTATTCCTGCATTTTGATTCATAACTTGCATGAACTTTCCGGGGGGACCACGTGGAATATTCAAAGATCCAGTTAAACACCAGGCAGTCATGGAATTTCCTTCCATTGGAAGAGTTATAAGCATGCAGGACGATGATTGGAATATTTTCATTCGAATATTCCTGGATCTTTCCCCGTACCCCTCAAAGACGTACGAATATTCAATGAGATTCATGGAACAACTGCCCCCTGGAAGACTTCGAAATACGAACAAATATTCTGGATGGTATAAGAATATTCCTGGACACGATATATTCGGGATGGTTCTGGAAGACTCGACAATATTCATGTAATCAACTTCATCGAGCATTCCTGAATCTTGCAAAACCCCTCATCAGGAATGTGCTCTTCTTCGGGAAAAACGCATTCGGGAAGATTCAGACGGAACCAGGAAGATTCAGGAAGATTATTATTCTTACATTTTTCTCGAGAAGATTTAGCAAGATGCAGGCAGATCCCTGAACTATTCTTCCTCGAATATTCTTGGCTATTCCCCTATCCATCCTCGGGAAGACTTGTGGGACAAGTCCTGGAGAGTCATCCCCCTGGAAGATTTGAACGAGTCAGTGAGTCTCAGAAAGATTCATGAAGCTACTTGGGAAACACTTCCTTGGGAAGACGTACGCCGTTGAAGCAAAAATGGTCCACGTTTCGCGCATCATGTAACAATCATCTGGCGAGTTGCCTTGAACAGGGATGTGTAGCAGCATGCAGTCAAAAAATCAAGGAGGATGGCGAGGACGAGGAGGAAGATGATAACGACGATACTCTGGAGTAGGACGACGATGGGCGGGAGGAGGAGCAGAAGCAGGAGGAGAAGGAGGAGTGCGAGGAGAAGGAGAACGAGGACGAGGAGGACGAAGACGTGGAGGATAAGGAGGAGGACGAGGACTCGTGGGGCAATCGTCCGAGGACGAGGACTACAGTCGGACCGGCAAAAGATCGAGGTCGGTTTGATTGGGGTACCCTAATGTTCGTGTTTGTTGGGTGATCTTGTGCATATTGGGGGGGGCCTTCGAATGTTCTTCAGTTTGGCGCCTGTGTTCACTCGTTCTGGTAAGGCTGGGGTTCGGGGCCCATGATTCGGCTACGTCCGCCCGCGGAGTCGGCAGACCCTTCCGTATTTACCGGTTTCAATGTCAAAGGTGCGACCGTTGGCAGCCGCGCGCTCGTTGATGATGGCGGCGCGTAGGCAAGCACCCTCGCGTGTTCTTGAGAGGGAGATTGGCGTGGGCCTATGCCGTAGGCCGCAATGCTCGCGCGTCTGTGGCGCGGGCGGGGGCCCTCCGTGTTTTTCGCTCCCGTGGGCAACAGCGCGGTTTGCAGAGACCGCGCGCCCGTGGACCACGGCGGTGCAAAGGCAATCACCCTGGCATGTTCTTTGGGGAGAGATTCGGGCCAGGCCCCGCGCCCGCGGAGTTCAGTTCGGGACGGGCGGGCGCTGTCGCGCGCGGCTTCATCGGTCCGCCGCTGGCGCCGACGGAGTAGGCCGCGGGACTCGCGCATCTGTGGCGCGGGGGGCCTCCACGTTTTTCGGTCGCGGTGTCCAGGCGGTGGCTTCAGCAACCGCGCGCTCGTCTGCGCTGGCGGTGCGAAGGCAAGCACCCTCGCACGTTCTTCGGGGACGGTTCGGGGCTGAGGGGCCAAGGTTGCGGGGGCCCGAAAGCCTGAGAGCGGCCGAAGGCCATGCGGGTGGAATTGGGGGTGTCTTCCGCGGCTCCCCCATGTAGGCTAGGCAGCGAAGATCGCGTGACGCGACGGAAGGGTACCTTCGGTGATCTTACGACTTGTGGTGCGCTGGCCGGCGGAAGGTATCATGTTTTTGCAGGAGGTTCTTCTGGCCGAGGTCCGATGGTAGATCGAGGACGAGAAGAATGAAAAGGATGATGATGATGATGAGGAGGAGGAGGAGAGGGAGGAGGAGGTTTGACTCTCAAGGCCGCAAAGTGCAAAATCGTTCCTCTTGGTGAACCCTTTGATGAGGATGTTGTCTTGCGTTATCGCACCTGGCTGTATTCTGTTATTCCAGATTGGAGACAATTCGAGGTGGTTCCTTCCCTTGTTTATCTTGGTATGCATATCGGGCCGGCGGCTCGTCTTGATAGTTGGGCAGCACCGATGGCTAAGTACAGATTGCGTACTGCACAAGTTGCCGCTGTGGGCGGCCCCACGCGAGTGACTGCCAGCAACTACAACATCAGATGCGTGACGACCCTGAGTTACGTCGCGCAATTTTTGCCCCTCCCCGACGGCTTCAGTAGGACTGAGGCCGCCCTTCTCGCCCGTCTGTGCAACACTGCCCACTGTGCGCTCCCCATGTCTGGCTGGCTCAATCTTGAACAATGGGGTGGCCCAGAGTTCGATTGTTTGCTCATCTCCACCCCCGCGGCTCTCATCCGAGCCAGTCTCGAAACGTTCCAGAGCTGGAGGACTGTCCTTCCCCTCCTCCGTGCCTCCGCCGAGTCCCACCTGCCCGTGTGCCTCCTCGCCCGCGGTCCCCTGTCCCCTCCCTTCTGGCAACAGGCTTCTTTCGCCGAATTTCTTGAGAATGCCCAGGCTGGTGTTCCCAGACCCGTCGGACATGGCCTCGTCACGTCCTCCCCCGCCTCGCTCGCTCCGATGACCTCCGCTGCTGCTTCTGCGTTCACGTCTCTCCCTGCTCCTCCCCTTCCGCCCCCGTGTGGCCGCAGGCGGCCCAAGCTCAAGACGCAACGCCACTTCCGCCTGGCCATGCTCGAAAATATGTTTCCCGACCCTCTGGTCGGTGTGTTTGCTGCCCGTGTGTCCTCCTGGGCTCCCGCTTCCGAGAATGAAGTTCGAGCGTGGCCATGGTAAGAGATCCGACGAGTCCTCGTCCGAATGCACCCTGCCCAAAGAAGTGCGGTTCTCAAGCTACTGGCCCACGGGTGGACTACAGACCACCGGTTTCAGTGCGACAGCCCTTGTCTCTTAGGCTGTATTCCCTCGGCTGTCGATCCCAGCCGTGACGCTTTCTCTCACTACTGGTCCTGCCCGCGCTTTCTCGCCATCCTCTGCTCTATCATCCGTGCCCCTTCGCTGCCTGGCTGCCCTGTCGCTCGCCTCGGCCTGGCCCCCCCGTCCTCCGAGTCTCTCCTTGTCCCCGCTGCCGCCACCCTTCTCTACCATGACATTCATGCCCGCCGATCTTCCAGCAGGTAGCCGTTCGAGAATCGGACGCCAAGGCAATCGCCTCGGCCGTCCGCTTTCAACTCTTCAGATAGGTGGATAGACGTGGCGCGCCGCGGCCACGTGCGAGGAGAGGGAGGAGGGGGAGGAGGAGGAGGAGGAAGATGGAGGACGAGGAAGAGAACGATTCAGCAGAGAACGAGTACGAGGAGAAGACGAGGACAAGGACAACGAGGATGAGGAGGTGGAGGATGAAGCCGACGATGAAAACAATGAGGATCACCAGGACGAGGAGGAAAAGACACAGGATGATATCGAATTTGAGAAGGGCGAGGAGGAGGACGAGGGCGAGGGCGGGGACTCTGGCGGCCGTCTTTGGGTTTGTTCGAGGCCCTCTGTGAGCCCTCTTGAGGCTCTTTCGGGGCTTTCTCGGTGTCCTCGTATGGTTTTTTTTTTGGAGAGTATCGGGGTCCTCTCGGGTCTGTTAGAGGGTATGTTTGGGCCCTCTTGGGGGCTTTCCTGGAATCCCTGGAAATTCTTGTGGGGCCATTTTGGAGGCCATCGATTAAGAGGGGGGGTCCCAAATGCCCCTCCCCCTCGGGGATCATCAACGTCGTTTCTTGGGGCTCTCTTGGGGCTCTCTTGGGCCATCTTGTGACCCATCTTGAGGCGTCAGAAGCCCATCGGACGCGAAACCGCGAGTAGACACACACACACACACCTTTCATTGTTTTTAAGGCTCGGGGAGGATTTGGGGCTGTTGGCGGGGGGGTTTTCGGAGGGTTCCAAGAGCACTTGGAACAAAATTCTGAGACATCTTGGAAGCATGATGGAGGCCATCTTGAACGACTCGCGGCTATCTGGAGCCATCTTGCAAGCAGTACTGGAGCATCGAAGGCCCTCTTGGAAGCATCTTGGGTCCAGAAGGACACTTGGGGGATCTGGAGTACCTCTTGGGGCGCTCTTGGGGAGCCACTTGGGGCATTCGTGGGACCCTCATGAGGCTTCTTGAGGCCCTCTTGGGGTCATCTTGGGGCCTTCCTGTGGCACCTCTTGGGGCCTTCCAGCAGAAGGGCGAGACCCACAGTCTGGAGCCGTCCAAGAAGCGCGTGCACGGTGCCGAGTAACGAGCCCACTTCAGACGAGGGAGCCGGCCTCCTTGCGCGTAGCTGCTGGCAGCTTGATGCTGTCAAGCCACCTGGAAGTCTGAAGCGAGAGCCTGGCTTTGAAACGCTACCGACCTCAATCCTTGTGATCACTATGAAAGTCAAGGTTTGGGGATCATATAGGGGCGAACTATCCAGCGACAGTCCGATCTTAAGAAGCATTCCTCCATCTCTCCATCGGTGTAGCTGTCGATAACTTCAAGGCTCGATGGGAGGCAGTACTATGCGACAATCAGCTGGCGAAACTGATCCGCGTTCCACCCATGAGAACTTTTCGACGTTTCATCCGTTGGGGCTTAAGAACGTATTGCGGTGAAAACCATTCATAGCAACTCATCGCTCTCCATCCACGCATTTGAGAATAACACTCCCGAGAGGGTTGGAAGGGGCAAGCGAGCACCATGTTCAATAGTTTTACGCCGTTCCGCCGACTCCTGAAAAGTAGACAGAGCTCGTGTACCCTGATCTGCACGGTTTGTCCAGGTACGGCAGATCACAGGAGGACCACGAAGACCGATGCGGTGCCCAGGACGGACAGGGAGGCAAGGGGGAGGGGCAGAGGGCTGGTCTCTGGGAAGTCCTTGCAAAGGTTATCTCAGTGTTGAACCCTCTGTCGGGGGCTCCGGGGGGCCTTTTGTCGGGTCATTGAAATGTATTGAGGGGTGCGTGCAAGAAGGGAGATGATGTGGAAGTGAAGGAGGACGATGGGGAGATGAGGATGACGAGGAAGGACCACCATAGTTGGAATAATGGAGGTGAGGGGCGGTGAGAGCTCAGGAGCATCGCACGGCCAACCTTGGTATTGCGACGGCCTTAGGGCCGGTGCCGCTGACCCTGAAGAGGGACGACGACGACGACGACGACGACGACGACGACGACGACGACGACGACGACGACGACGGCGGCGGCGGCGGCGGCGGCGGCGGCGGCAGCGGCGACGACGATGCTGACGTGGGTCAGAATTCTCAGGGATGCTTCTTCGGGTCTCTTCGGAGCGCTCTCGGGGACCTCTGCGGGGCAGTTTGGAGGGCCGAGGCACTTGGGGGCCTCTCGGGAGCCTCTTGCTGGCCTCTTGGGGCTTCCGCTTCTTGGGGGTCTCTTGGGACCTCCTGGTCCGATCGGGTCCCCGTCTGAGCACCCTCTTGGAGCCGTCTTGGGGGCCTATCGGGCTGTCTTGGAGGACTTTTGGGCAGTCTTGGAGCCCTCTTGGGTCGCTTTGGGGCCCTCTTGGAGGCCTCTGAGGGCGATCTTGGGGCCATCTTGGAGCGTCGGGAAACTGGAAAGGCGAGAACCCAAAGTCTGTCAAAAACCAAAGGGAAATCAATGAAGTTTGCCTCTTGGGGCCATGGGAGTGCTCTTGGAGGCCGCTTGGGGCGTCTTGGAGGCCTCTTGGTTGGGCTGTCTGTCTGGAGACTATCTTGGGTGTCTTGGACCGATCGTTCAGCGATTCGGGGCCCTCTTCATCTTGGGGCACTCTTGGCCCGTCTTGGGGCCTTGGGCTCCCGGACCCTCCAAGGGGGATGGTATTCTGCCCCGGGGCCCCCCCTCAACGCCCCGCCATGAACACCCTCCTGGGACCTCCCCCACCCTCCACCCCTCAGCGTGGAAGGGATCAAGGGGAAGGGGCCTGCCTTCGACTCAACTGCGCCGGCGGGGAAGGGATCAAGGGGAAGGGGCCTGCCCTCGACTCAGCTGCGACGTTGCTCAATTTCGCTTTGGCTGGTACGGGGAGGAGGAGGAGGAGGACGAGGACGAGGACGAGGGCCCAGGGAAGAGGGGGGGAGCGGCGACGGCGGCGGCGGCGGCGGCGGCTGCGACGAAGATGACGACTCAAACGAAACAGCGTCTCTCGACAAGCACCGACAAGCCTCTCGCACACGCCGACAGGGTCGGCAGACTTCCCTCCAGCATTGTCAACAGCATGAGGTAGCGACGAAGTGACCCCGCACAGCGGGAATCACGGCGGCCCCCCCAGGGAGGAATCAGCATGCAGTTCTCTCAATGAGTGAGTGTTGAGTGTTTAGCTTGGACAAGCTAGACACGTGCGTGACTGAGCATTCGGCCTGCGGGGCCTTGTGGGAAGCTTCGTGGGCTTTCTGGAGCTATCTCGGGACTCCCTTGGGGCCTCCTTGTGCCATCTTGGCATCCCTTCTGGGGTCTTGGAGTCGTCTTGGAAGGTCTTGGGGCCGCGTGGGTCAGTCTGAGTCTTTGGACCGTCCTGGACCAATTTCGGGGCCGTCTTGGAGGCCAACCTGGAGCCATTGGCGTCATTCGGGGCCATAATTACTAGGGAGTATCTTGGGTCGCGTGCGGACCCTCCTGGAGGCGTCTGGCTGCGATGAGGCGAGACATCAAAAACGTTGAACAACGTTTGGAGGGTCGATGATTTGGGGTGCCTGGGCTCTCTCTTGGGACCTCTTTCGGTCTGATTCGAGTCTCTCGGGGCCTCTTGAGTTCGAGGTCTCTTGGGCGTGTTGAAGCCCTTAGTAGCCCTCTTGGATGGCATCTTGGACGTCTTGGAGGCGCCGGAGCGTGGATCTGGAGGCTCTGAAGGCCCAGCAGGTGCGCTGCGGAGCTTGACCCTCCCCCGGTTAAACAAAATGTCGGACCCCCGGTGAGGGGGAAGGGGAGAGGGGAGCCAGCCACAGGTCTCACGCGCCTTCTGTCCCCTGGGAAGAGGGGGTCGGCGGATTTTGACGACAGCCCTCCTCCTCCTCCGCGTGCCAGAACATCCTCCAGATCGCCATCGATGAGATCCCCTTGGAGTCGGAGAACCTTGTGACCGCCATCCACAAGATCGCCAAGATCAGGCGGAATAAGGCTGGCTCCGCAAGCTGCTAGTCCTCGCCTCCCAGTTTCGCGTGCGCGCAATCAAAAGGCGATCCGTTTCTAGCACGTGGCTCCCCGACAGAAGTAAGAGTAAAAGGAGAGGAGGAAGAGGAGGAGGAGGAGGAGGAGGAGGAGGAGGAGGAGGAGGAAGATGATGGGAAGGAGCAAGGTAAGGCTGGCTGACGTTCACCGCCAGGGGCTCTGAGGCGTTGTACGCGGTCAGTGGCTGCTCCGTCCACTCAGGCCGCTTTCCCGGTTATGCTGCAGCCTCCCGCTTTCGGCGCCGAAAATATCGCGGCGCATGCGCGCCGCGGTCCACTTTGCAGCTACATCTTGGAGGTTGATTCCACTTTAGGGTTGCTTCGAGTCTCTTAACCTGTTCGGTCAGGGGGCGTTGTTGGCACTGGGCTCTGAGTCAGACTATCCAGATCACTTGGCTCAGGGCCCCAGCTCATCTATCCCCCTCCCTTTACAGTTACTCAATATGAATACTACTCTCCTTTCCCCTGGTGACATCCAGGAAATGTTCAGCCCCCCTCCGCGTACGTTTTTTTACACAGGATTCCCAGAAGTTGGGTTTCCGCTTGGTTTTTTCAAAATGCTGCTCTCGCTGAAGCGCTGGCCTGATTTTCCGGCTGCCGCTCGTTCCGAATCTTGCTCCCGCTGCAGTTCCTGGCCTCATTTCCGCTCTTCCGCTCGTTCCGAATCGTGCTCCCGCTGCAGCGGTGGCGTCATTATTTCCAGCGCCATCCCACGGCATGGTTTTCGGTCCTTCCAAATAGAACCCGAAATACAGAAAATTGCCCCCCGAAAAACCATCGGAAGTGATTACACATTCGGTGTCGATTCGTTGACTTTTGTGGCCCCCTACTTTGGGGCTTCGCCACGCCATGCTATGTCAGGCTACGCGTCCTCCGAATCGCGGTCCCGCTACAGCGCTGGCCTCATTTCCGCGTTTCCGCTCGTTCCGAATCGTGCTCTTGTTGCAGCGTTGGCGTCATTATTTCCAGCGCCATGCCACGGCATGGTTTTCAGTCTTTCCAAATAGGCCCCCAAATCTAAAAAAATGCCCCCCCAAAAAAACATCCGATGTGATTGCACATTCGGTGTCGATTCATTGATTTTGGGGGCCGTAGAACGTCCCCCCCCGAGGACCTTAAAAAACGATCGGGCTGGAAAACGCCGATCCGATTTGACCCCGTGAGGGGTCCAGGGGCCCAGTGTGAGCCGATTGTTCAAGGAAGCCAGACCATCGAGCTTGGCAGCCCGCCGTTCCATTCCCTGACATCCGTCCTCGCCCGCCGCAGCGTCCCCCGCCGCCGCCGCCGTCTGCGTCATTGTCGCCGTCGGCAATTTCTGTGCGTTCCCTGGAGCTTCCGGAAGTCTTCGGGCCATCCGCCACGCCTCGTGCAGAGCTGTCCGGGGAGCCCAGGGAGACTTGGAAGGGGGCTCGGGAAACGCAAGGCAGCGTGTCGAAATAAAGGGTGGAGGGCCTTACGTTATTACAGTACCCCTACCAGACGGCACTTGGCATTCGAAAGCTCCCACATCGGGCAGGCACGGTTGCGCAGAGCATCGAGCCAGGGTTCCGGACAGGCCTTCTCCTTTCGTACACGCGCCATTTACTCTCCAAGGCATTCGGCGCCATGCCATGGCATGCAATGCGATGTTACGCTTTACGATACAATGCTACACTACGCAATGCCAAGCCATGCTATGACATGCTCTGCTCTGCCACGCTCTTCTACACCATGTTATGCCGCGCTTTGCCATGCATTGCAAACCTTCCCGGGATCATTGCCTTGCTCGACATCAGCTTGTGCGCATAAAGAAGAGATTTGCGCCGTGGTAAGGACTGGGAGGGAGGGGTATGACGACAGATATGACGCGAGCGCACCTGGCTTGTCCTTTCCCCCCTCTACCCCTCCCCTTGCCATCCCCTTCCCCTCCTCTTGCCCCGCCTGGGCATGGAATCCAGACGGGGAACAAAACGGCTCCTTTGAGAGCAACTCGTCGGATGGACGGCCCCACCTCCATTTTCCTATTCCTTCTCTTGCTATGACCCGGACCTCCCTCCCTCTCTCTCTCTCTCTCTCGTTTTCGCTGTTCGAGGAGGATGATGGGGAAGATGATGCACAGACGGGGGGAGGAGGAGGAGGAGGAGGAGGAGGAGGAGGAGGAGGAGGAGGAGGAGGAGGAGGAGGAGGAGGAGGAGGAGGAGGAGGAGGAGAGGAGGGGGGGAGGGGGAGGAGGAGGAGGAGGAGGAGGAGGAGGAGGAGGAGAAGGAGGAACAGATCTCGGCGGGCGGTGCACCTCCCCCTTCCCTTCCCCACCAGAGGCAGCAGGTCACCCCCAGGGGCGCGAAGGTTGGAGAGGCGCCCTCGCGGCTCGGGTTGGAGAGGCGCCCTCTTCCAAGGCGGCGGCGCGAGGGCGCGAAGGTGACCGCGCATCCCTGGGCTCGACGGGCGAAGCGCGGCGACCTGGAGGCATGTGGAAGTCGATTACTGGAGAGGAAGCATGCTGCCAAATAATTTCCAGATGTCTAAAAGATGTTTCAAACACATGATTTGAGCATTTGTCGAACATTTTTTACACAGTTTAAACACATGTTTGATTCAATGATAGGATTGTTAGAGTGTTCATTGTCATGGCATCCACAAACCTAGAGGCATGTGGGCAGAGCTTGGCGCGCAAAGCCGAACGCCGCCCCCTGCGACCAGAGAGTGCCTCCTTCCACCCCTGCGGCCACGGCCGCCTCCCAGCAGCCCGCCAGACGGGTCGGCCGGCCACCAGGCGTCCGCTCGCTCGTCGCCTCCCCCGCCCCTCCTCCTCCCCATCCCATCGGAGGGCGCTAACTGTCTTACCCGGACAGTCAAGGTATTGACAAAAGAAAGAGCGTGTTCTACCGCTGCTGGCGGAAAACCGGGGGGGTCATTACCGGTTCGAACCCCTCCCCCCCCCCCCCTCCAGAAAACCGGGGGGGGGTCACTACCGGTTCGAACCCCTCCCCCCCCCCCCCCTGCTCATCATGAAAAGGGGGGGGGTCACTACCGGTTCGAACCCCTCCCCCCCCCCCTCCGGATCCGGAAAACCGGGGGGGGTCACTACCGGTTCCCCCCCCCCCTCGAAAACCGAGTGGGGGTGCGGACAGTGGTGGGGGTGGTGGGGACGGGGTTGGTGGGGAGGGGACAGAGGGGACAGCGGGACACAGTGACAGTGGGACAGTGGGACAGTGGTGGTGGTGGACAGTGTGGTGGGGACAGTGGTGGGGACAATGGTGGGAACAGGGGGGGACAGTGGACAGTGGTGGTGACGGTGGTGGTGGGGACAGTGGTGTGGGGACAATGGGAATGAGGTGGAAACAGTGGGACAGTGGAGGGTACAATGGTGGTGGGGACAGTGGTGAAGGCGGTGGCGAGGACGGCGGTGGGACAATGGGACAGAGGTACAGTGGGGACAGTGGTGGGGACAGTGGGGACAGTGGTGGGAACAGTGGGACAGCTCAGTGGGACAGCGGAGGAGTCAGTGGGACAGTGGGGACAGTGGGGATAGTCGGGCAGTGGTTGGGGCTGTGGAGACAGTGGGGAGTGGAACCGTGGTGGGAACAGTGCTGGGGACAGCGGGGACAGTGCGACAGTGGTGGGGCCACTGGTGGGGACAGTAGGGGCGGTGGTGGAACCAGTGGGGACAGCGGTGGTGAGGACAGTGGTGCTGGGAACACCTGTGGGGGATGTGATGCGGACGGTGGTGGGGACCGGGAGTCGTTTGCTGGCGGTTGAAGTAGCGGGGGGGGGGCGGGGGGGGGGGGGTTTTCGAAACGGTAGAGAAGTGACACATACCCGGTTTTTCCGGAGCATCCGGAGGGGTGGGGGGTGGGGGGTGGGGTTGGGGGTTTTCGAACCGGTAGTGACCACCCCACCGGTTTATGTGCGGCGGGACGGGGGGGGGTGGGGGGTGGGGGCAGGGGGGGGGGGGGTAGAGGTGTTTGGGGGGGGGGGGCGGTTTTAGGTTGTTGCCGGGGCGTGATAGGTATGGAGGGGCTGTGGTCGGGGGGAGGGGTTTAGGTTTCCAGCAGGGCGGGAGGGGGGGTGAGGGGGGATTTTCGAGGGGGGAACTGGTACTGACCCCCGGGTTCCGGAGGAAAAGGTTGGCAATTTTCCACAGTAAAGCGGCGGTGGATCACGCTCTCTCTGACAAAAACAAGACGAAGGTGTCTCGCTGGGCCCCGGGACCGTCCAGGATCGATCTGGGAAGAAAAACTGGTCCCCAGGAAGAAGTTGTCCAGAGCTCTGGGGACCCCAGTGGGCAGAACTCAGGATATCGGAGGTCTGGATGTGCAGCGGCAACGCGCAGAAGGGAGGTAGGGGGAGGGGGGAATGCTGCTTAGAAGCACCCCTGCTTCTCAGAAGGTGCGGGTCCCTCTCCGAGGATGTCTCGGGCGACAGTGGCCTCGGGTCCCAAGACCGTGCGGTGACGGACCGTGCGGTGAGGTCTCTTGGGGTTCAAGGTCACCGCACGGTCTGTCACCAAACGGTTTTGGGATCCCATGGTAACAGGGATCGGCCACGCGCAGAGGGGGGTTTGGGCCGGGAGGGGGGAGGCTGCTTAGAATCAGACGATCGCAAACATGGGTCAAGGGGGCGTGGATTAGCGACGGGTCCCGCTTCCATGGAAAATCGCAAAGTTCCGCCGCCGAGCGAGGCGGCACCTGCCGCTTTTCGGGGAGGGCACCCCCTCCGATCCATGGATTTGGCGACCGCGCGCCAAATCCATGGATCGCTAATCCATGTTTGCGCGCCCCGATAGAAGCAGCCTGCTTCTAAGAAGGCTTCCCCCCTCTCCCTACATGCCCCCCTCTGCGCGCCACCAGCGGGAGGGGGTCACAACCCGCCCGGACGAGCAGTTTTAGCCGAAGACGAAAAGTAGCGGCATAAACATAAAATTGTCGGCGCTCCCTCCCCCAGGGTTTCTTGGATCTGTGCTGGGGCCCCCTGGCGGTGCCTCCGGCGCCGCCCCTGGCGCGCTCCGCGCGCCAGGGCGGGGACTCCAGCTCTGATCCAAGAAATCCGCGCGGAGCGCCGAAAGTGTACGTAAGGCCATTTTTCGTTCCTCTAGATACAAGAGAGAACCCTTCCAGGCGAGAATTTTTAGACCTTCTGACCAGCCATGAAAGGGCGGCCTTTTGCCCAGATCTCTTGGGACCCTCCAGGACAGCTCAGATCAGGCCCCACACCAGATCAGGCCACCCCCCTTGCGTTGTGCAATCCGGATTGCAGCTCTCGTCGCCCCAGGAGTGCAGGCGAGCGACGTAGAATTCGTCTTCACCGACACTGACGCGTAAGCAGCCCGCGCAAGGTCGCGCGTACAGTGGAGGACGATCCACAAGAAATCTTCCACAAGAAACCCAACCCTGAGACACCAGGACGTCCACTGATTATGGGTGTGGGAACGTTTCGCTTTCGTAGAACCATCGAAACCCAAGAAACTCAGGGCACCCTGGAGGCAAGCAGGGTGTTTCTTGACATGGGCCCCACTGTAGCTGTAAGCGCCCACGTTTCCAGTGTAGCGTGCCGCGCTGGCGGCCAGCGTCAGCCGCGGCGTAAGGTCGCTATGTCATCTCGCCAAGGGCGCCCACGAGGGCGCGAAGTTCCTCGCGCTACGCGGTTCGGCCCCGATTCCTTCTCATCCTCCTACTCTCCCCGGGGGGGGGGCGGCGCGAGAGCGCGAAGTGATTCGCGCAGCGCGCAGCGCGAAGTCGGGCGCCCTTGCTCGCGCAAGGCCCGTTTCTCTTCGTCGCCCGGGTGCGCCCGCTCCGCTCTTCGGCGATCGTCGGCCTGGGCCACCGCCCCGCTTGCGCCTGCGCGGCCGTGGCCTCCCGATCCCAAGCGGGGGCCGCGGCGCCCGCCTCTGTGGGACTGCTCCGCGGAGGCACGGGACCCTGGAGATCGGGGAGCATCGTCGACGATCGAGCTTGTCTTGGACGCTGTGCGCGCGCGCATTCCGACGGTCTCCTGGGGCGCCCTCGACGCTGGACACTGTGCGTGGATGCCTCTTGACCGCCTCCTGGGGCGCCCTCGAGGCCACGGCTGGCGCCGCCCCGAGCTGCCGGCCAAGCCGCGCCCCGAGATCACCACCCACCAAACCACCCCAACCCAACCCGAAGGCTCAGATTTGCCCTCCATTTCCAGTGGGGGGGGGTCGCGGAACATCGAGAAAACACGTATGGAACCCTTACCCCCCCCAACCCGAAATTCGGGTCTTCGGGTTGGGTTGGGGTGGTCTGGTAGGTAGTCACGAGAGAGGTCCAGGGGGCAGATGCTTTTAGGGTCGCCGTGGGAAGAAGTGTCCTGAGGGCAGGGGCGGTCCCGAGCGCCTCCTGCGTCCTCCGGGCCTCTCCGGGGGGGAGGCCCTTCCCGTGCAGGAGAAAGCCCCGGCCCCGTTTCCCTCGGGACCCCTTTCCTTCAGTGGCACGCGGCGGCAGCTCCCCGGAAGGATCACGGGAAGGTCCCCCCCAGCTGCCGTCCACTTGAGACAGAAGGCCGCCTGCCCAACAGCGGCCGCTGTTGGTTCGGGACAAAATTTGTTGTTGGACATTGTGCCCATTTTTTCCGTACCCATTTCGGGCGTCCAAGTCCTTGTCACTGCGGTTGGATCTTTCTTGAACTTCTGGTCAAAACGCACCCTGGGAGAGGTCCGGGGAGTAGCGGCATCGCTGTTCTTTAGCCCCCCCAGCCACACCCCAGGAATGATGGGGTCTGCTGCCCAGGCCTGGCTGCGGCAGGCTCGGGTCGCACATCGACGCGTCGGCGATGCCCGCTCAGGGCCGAAGGCTGCCCGCTGCCTGCACAGTCGAGCTTGATTGGCAGGTCGCCCTGCCAAGTCAAGGGTTCCCGTGAGTCCTGAGTTTAGCGGCTCATGCTTTCTACGTGATCGTTTCTTCAATACCCCTGGGGGGAACGCGTGTTCCCCCCCCCAGACCCCCCCTCCGTAACGGTAACGCTTGCGAGCCGAGCACAAGCGTGAATCTTTGCAGCTTCCATAAGACATTGTAAGGAGTACGCAGGCGCTCCGGCGCACGCAGGCATCGACCTGCACGCAGGGCCAGTGCACTTCGGTGGTGTACACGGGCGCTGTGGTGCACGCAGGCATTGTGGCGTACGGCATTGTGGCGTACGCGTACGCTGCAGTGCACATGGCTACTGTAGTGTGCATAGGCCTTGCGGTGCACGCGGCTGCTATGGTGTACGCAGGCGTTTTGATGCAAGCAAGCGATGCGGTGCAGCAGGATGATATCAGAGGAGGAGGGGCAGGACGATGAGGAGGAGGAGGCGGAGGGGAATAGGAGGTGGAGGGAGCCAGACAACAGCACATTCACAGCTTAGTGGCCCCACTGCGAGGGCGGGGGCTGCGGGCTCTCGTTGTCTTCCGTTGTTGCGTCTGCCTCTGGCCGCAGACGGTTTGCTGGCGCAGAGAAGGCGCGGCGGCGACCCCAGCGCGGCTGTGCAAGGTTGCGACGCGCCCGGGGGTGGGGGCCTTTCGGGCTCTAGGTTTCTCAGAAGCGAACCCGCGGTGCGAGATCATGGTTCAGTTTTGAGCCGAGAGCTTTCGGTAGCGCAGATCGTTCAAGATTGAACGATCCACGCGTTGTTAGAAACCACCTTCCAAGGCGTCACAGCCGAAGCCCCACGTCCTCTTTTCGTTCCCCCCACTTCCCGCATCCTTTTACTTCCTCTCCCACCTGCCCGAGCTCCCCCCCGCTCCTCCCCACTTGCTCCTACGTCCTCCCGTTTTCCCACCTTGCGGCCTTTGGTCCTTGGTCGTAGCCCTTGGCTGAAGCTTCCTCGCGGCCCTTGGTCGCGCCCTTGGTTCGTAGCAGGGCCTTGGCACACTGGCGCTCACGAGCGAAACGTGGTGCTCGCAAACTCATAGTGTGCCCGCTGACAAGTTTGGCGCTGTGGTGTACACGCAGGCTTTGTGTGGTGCTGCGCGGAGGCTTTGCGGTGTACAAAGGCGCTGTGGTACACATGGTTGCTGTGGTGTACACAGGCGCTGTGGTGTACACAAGACAAGCATCACGGTGCACGCAGGCAACGTGGTGCACAGGCGCTGTTTCGCACGCGGCTGCTGCAGTGTACACAGGCACCCTGGCGTACACAGGCGTCGTGGTGCTGTGTTGCACGCGGGCAGTGGGCACTGTCGTGTGCACAGGGACCGTGGTGCACAGAGGCGATTGATGTGCTGGCGGCTCGGACTCGCCCCGGCGGGTGCGCCGCGGCCGCCGTTACGGTTGCCCGCCCCTGCGCCCCCCCCCCCCAGGGCAGCACGCGATACCCCCAGTAGATCAAAAACGATCTCTGCATTCCTGTGGCGGAGCCCTCGGAAGATCCAAGATCCTCTCGCGTGCCCGCTCCAGTCAGATTTGCCCATGCCAGGCCATCCTCGCACGGAGGCCGCTGTCCGATGCCTAGCGGAGGGCGCTCAAGGTCGAACGATCTACGCGGTGACCCAAGCCTGCGCTCACTGTCAGCGCGACGGGAGCCGGCCGTGGGTTTCTCCTCCTCTCGAAGAGGACCTCTGACCTGATTTCGGCCCCCTCATCCGCACTGGACCGGCCAGACTCTTCCCCTTCCCTGACAGGCTTTTGATGGGCGTTTCTGCCAGCGCCCTGTGTGTCGCAAAACCGCGACTAATTCACGACAAGAGGGATTAATTCACGACAGGGGAAGACTAATTCACGACAAGAAGACACTAATTCACGACAATGTCCGGGATGAAGGTGGGAGGCGATCCCGCTTTCGCATCCCACTGTCCTCTCACAGGCTATGTGACGCTGCTGACGCAGCACCGCTGGCTGGCCCGCACCAGCGCGGACCTGATCGCGCCTCGCGCATCGCGATTTGCGTCGAGGGCCTTCTCTTCGTCCATGTCGCCGCCCTCCCTCTCCCTGGTAGTTCAAAGATGGGATTCTGAGGGATGGGGTCCTCAGGACGAGGTGCCTCAGACAATGTAAATCTACCCTTGGACCCCTTCCTATCCTGAGGACCCCATCCCTCAGGACCCCGTCTTTGGACCACCGATCTCTCCGTCTCGGCCTCCTCTTCCGCGCGCCCTCTCTCTATCCGAACAGCCTCGCGCGTCTACGCGTCTCCTCTACGTCGAGCCGGTCATCGCAGCTGCCCGTTGCCCCTTGTGCGCCCGTGCGCAGGACTCTCAGGTGGAGACTGTCACCGACGACCCCCGCTGGACTCGGCTGATGCAAGAGGTCGTCGATAGGACAGCGCATACATTTTTTCGCGCACGGCGGCACAGCAGGAAAGGTTTTGGTAATTTGGGGGCCTCCGAGGGGTCCCTCGTGGCCACGGTCGGGCGCAGCTCGAAAAAGTGCCTCAGGGATGAGCCCCAGGCCCGTTTTGAGCGGATGCGGAATGAGCCCCAGGAGGGGGTTGGGGCTCTGTTTTAAGCGGATGTAGCGAGCAAGCGAGGAGAGGCGAGTGAGAGGTGAAAGGACAAAGTGTATATCCAAGTGGGCGAGCAGAAGCGCACGACTGCGTTAAGGTTGCTTGTCGCAGTGGAGAGCAGAAACACATGCGAGCAACATAACATTCAACGAGTGTGGTATGTTGTTGGTCCGCTCTATTGTAGGCGCAGGGCAGAGGCGGAGATGGAGAGCGAGGCAGGGAAAGAGAGAGAGAGAGACAACTGTCCAAACAGGCGTTGACATATAGCGATGCTTAGGGGCAGAGGCAGATAGTGGCATGATGAGAAGACGGATCTGTATAGTAGGCTTACGGGATGAAGAGGGGGGGCAGAGAGAGAGAGAGACCTACATACACGTATACATATATCTTATGTGTATGTGTATATATATATATATATATATATGTATATATATATATATATTAGTCAGCCTGGACCCTAAACAGTGTTTCTGGCAATCCAGCAGCCAAAGTACGTGTGTATGTGTAGGAGCTCACGTGCTCATCTATATGGTGAGAGCTACGTGTTGTAAGCTGTGTGGTGCAGTCTATGTGGTAGGAGCTACGCACTCTTCTATGTGGTAAGATCTAGCGTTCTCATATATGTGGTGTGAGTTGCATGATTCGATATGTGTGGTAAGAGATATCGTACTCACGTGTGTGGCGCGAGGTGTGTGGCGCGAGCTACGTGGTGTACGCTGTGTGGTGCAATGCATATGGCAGGAGCTAGCGTATTCATCCATGTGGTGCAGACTACATGGTATAAGCTATGCGGCGCAGTAGATTGCAACCGACTGCCGATGCAGTCGTTTGAATAGTTTTCGATTGGATTGCAATCGATTGGGTTGAGCGATAAACATGCGCGCCGCAGGCGCGAACTTCTTCGTGCTCTCTATGTAGTGCAATTCAACGGCGGCGGGCGGCGACGAGGGTGGCGACGGGGCGGCGACGGCGGCTACATAGCCGCCCGACCGCCCACACGGCTCAGAAGACGGGCGGCGACGGGGCGGTGACGGCGGCTACATCGCCGCCAGACCGCCCACACGGCCCAGCTGCTTTGAGAGAAGTAAGGCCCCCTAAGTGCAAGCATTGTTAAGGATCGGAGGACCATCACAGTCATCCCAGTTGTCCTCAGTTAGTTCTTTACCCCCCCCAAGCTCCTTCTCACCCGAAGGGTGGTCGTATATATATATATATATATATAGGTGTGTATATATATGTATATAGGCTTCAGAGACACATTCCCTTTCCTATATCTATGAAAGCCGCATCCGTGGCCCTCGCAGTCCCCTGGCTGGCACTGCAGAATGTCTCCTGGGATTCCCGAGTTTCTGGAAGCCCCTGCTGGGCCGAGGCAACCGGCCTAAATCGGTCAGGGGGGCGGCCGAACGTCCTTGCGAGACCCCAAGAGACCCCCAGACCCACCAGACCCGACAACAACCCAAAGAAGACCCCCAAGATGTTTTCAAACGGACAAAGAAGACATTGATATCGCATGGGTTTCTGTATGATTTTGAGAATGCTCTGTTCTTTGGTCTGGCGTCCGAGACCGCCCAGGAAGCCCGAAAATCGCCCCAAAATTACCCAGAAGGACTTCCAGGCAGTCCAAGAGAGCCCGAAGACGGCCCAGCAGGGCCCCAATAAGGCCCGAAGAGAGCCCCATGACGACCCAAGATGGCCCCAAGACGCGCCCCAAAGCATTCCAAATCGTGACCCGGTCGTTCAGGGAGACCGCAGTTGGAAGCAGGGTGTGTCCCGAGGAAGCCCCCAGAGGGCCCCACAAGGCGCCCAGGTTCGTGAGGCCCCCAAGAAGCTCTCCGAGGCGGAACCTCCGCAGAAAGAGCTGAGGAGGATTGGGAAGAAATCGTAGGGTAGGGCGAGAATGAAGAGAAAGAGGAAACCTGCGGGAATGAGTCAGAATCACATTAGTATAGCGACCATGTCCAAAAACGCAACAATGAGTTATCGCGAATTTTGTTGTTGTACATTCCTGCCCTTCCGCCTGCATGCCAATTCTAGACGCTTCGCATAACCCTACCAGCCCATCCAAAAACGATACCCGGACGAGTTGCCCTGATCAGGGATGTGGAAGAGCATGCAGTGGAATAAAGGGCTGGGTAAGATGTCATACCCCAAGAGGGGGAGGATGGAGGAGGAGTTGGAGGAGCAGCAGGAGGGGGACGGGGAGGGGGAGGAGGAGGAAGAGGAGGAGGAGGAGGAGGAGGAGGAGGAGGAGGAGGAGGAGGAGGGATGAAGGAGGAAGAACAGGCGGAGGAGGGGGACGATGAGGAGGGCAATCAGAAAGGCCAGAAGCCTCCTGGATCGACCTCGAAGTCTCTTCGGATTTTTCCCGAGAGCTTATTGGAGTCCTCTCGGGGTGTCTTGGGGGGCTCTTGATAGTCCCGGGTGCCTCTTGGGGCGCTTTGGGTGCGTCTGGGGAGCCTCTGGGGGGCTCTTGGGGGTCTCTTGGGAGCCCCTCGGGGGTATATTGGATGCCTCTTGGGGGCCTCTTGAGGCCTCCTGAGCACCTCTCGTGGCCGTCTTGGGGCACCCATCGGGAGCCATCTTGGGGCCATCTTGGAGGAGATCGATCAAAAGAGCGGCCGTACTACAGACGGGTCCCCTTCCCCAGGAGGCCAAAATGTGGCCAAAACTTTAATACAGTGAATGGTTTTGGTATTCTCGACGAGGCCTCTTGAGGCGTCTTGAGTGCCTCTCAGGGGCTTCTTGGCGCCTGTTAGGGTTCTCTTCCCTGGCACCTCTTGGGGCCGTCTTGGGGCACTTTGGGGAGCTTAGTGGGACATCCTGTGGCGATTTTGCAGGAAATCGATCACAGGAGAGGAGGGGGCGCCTTAATTAAGGTCCCCCAGCAGGAGGCCAACATCTGGCCAACACCTTAGTGACATCCATGATGTTGGTCTTCTCGCCGAGGCCTCTTGCGGAGTCTTGGGTGTCTCGGGGGGGCCTCTTGGCGCCTTTTAGGGGTCTCTTGGGAGTCTCTTACTCCATAAGCGTTCCCCACCCAGGAGGCCAAATGTGGCCAAACATTTTGTAAAATCGATGATGTGGACTTCCTCGCCGAGGCCATCTTGGACGATCCAACCCCTCGCGGAGCGCCCCTCCAGACCCAGGGCGAGGGGGGAGGGGAAGGGGTCAATCGACCTTCCTGGATAGCAGGCCGTCTAGCTCCCAACACAGAAGTAACACCCGAGTGTCAGAAGATCGCTTAGGAACGCCACGCATGCCATGCGCGCCACCAGTTCCAGGTGCACCAGGCACTCTGGAGGCCCAAGCGTGCCAGGTGCTGCTCATGTTCTAAGTACGCCAACCGTGCCACGTGCGCCAGCTACGGGTAACCAATAGGGACCCCATGTGCCTGGGGCCCTGGCCCCAAAGAGTTCAGGATTTTGACTCCCCCTGAACCGAAGTGCCGAGCATGAGTCGCGAAACAGATGAGAGCTCAGAGAAAAGAAGGCCCTTGGCATGCTCCAGAGTTGGAGCCAAAGTGCATGTTGTATTGTTCTTTGACAGGGATGGTTGGCCTGCGCGCAGCAAGCAATATGCCAGCACCCCCGCCGCCCCTGTCAAAAACCAGTGCACAGTGGTCGCGTCGCACCCGCGCATGCTCCAGATTTGGAAACAAAGTGCAGTTGGTATTGTTTTTTACGAGGATGGTGGGATGGTGCCCGCATTGGTCCCAGTTGGCTGCTGGTCGCCCGGGGGAGGGGGTGTTCACAAATAGGGAGAGGTGGTTGGACGAGAAAACTCCCTAAACCACGTACGCCCTGAAGGGCTGGTGGGATTTTCAAGGACCACAGTGCACAGCGCGAGGCGCCGATGCAGTCTTGATATGTACGTGCGCACGCCGTGTACATGTACATATATAGAGAGAGGGAGAAGCAACAATGAAAGAGAGAGAAAGAGAGAGTCACACGCATGATGCATACGTAAACGGAGCAAGTAGCATCGTGCATGGGAATCTCCCCTAGTGAGATTATGGGTGTAGGATGAGCGTCATACTATTCAGTTCGACTTCTCAGAGAAAGAGTAGATAATCCCTCCTCGATTATCCTTCTCCTCGTCCGTACACTCCTCCTCCCACAACCTTCCTTCGTACTCCTCGTCTTCCTCACCCCTCCTCCCATCGTCCCTCCCCCCATCCCCCCTCCCCATCACCCCTCTCACTCCTCTCCATTCTCTTCCTCCTCCCCCTCCTCCTCTTCCTCCTCCATTTCTTTTCCTTATGAATAACTTCTCCCTGTCGCACCCTGAGGCCGGTCGAAAAGGCGGGCCGGGCGTTTCGCCTGATATTTCCTCACCATGTATGACCCTGAAGCTTAAAAGTTGGGAACAGTTTCACAGATGGAGGGCGGGTCGTTTTCAACATGTGACTCGCCTTAGCGCCTCGCACACTCGTCTGCACATTTGCAAGAGTTTCACGGATTGAGGGCGGGTGGTTTTTCAAAACGTGGTTCTCGCCGCAGCACCGCGCGCTTTCGTTTTAAATATTCGCAAGAGTTTCACGGATTGAGGGAGGTTCGTTTTCAAAATGTGGTTTTCGTTTTAGTGCCGCGCGCATTCGTTTTGAAAAGTTGCAAGAGTTTCGCGAGTTGAGGGCGGTCCGTTTTCAACATGCGGCTCTCGCATTAGCGCCGCGCACATTTCTTTCTTAGACCTTCAAGAGTTTCACGGATTCCCATGGTCAACGTACCAGACATGTTTCTGTTTGGAAAGATTCAGGATTATGAGGGTGCAAAGTTACGTTGCTTCGCGGTGTTGAAGTCCCAGGAATGGCGTTCTGGCACGATTCAGGATCGTCAAGACGGAACCGTCAGGTTGATCTGTGGCGTTGGAGTCCCGAGAATGGTCTACAAGCGGTTGTCTTCCAATGATGCAAGTCCCTCAGTGGGAATGAACGCTTGTAGGGGCCTATGAAAAGGGAGCTTGGAGGGAGTTTTTATGCCAACATCGTTGGCCCTCCTCCTCTTCCTCCTCCTCCTCCTCCTCCTCCTCCTCCTCCTCCTCCTCCCCCTCCTCATCCTCCTCCTCCTGATCCTCCGTCTTCTCCTCCATCCCGTCGCTCTACTTCCCCCCTTCCTCTTCCCCCTCCTCCCCCCTCCTCGCTCCCCCTTGCAGCTAGACCGGCCTCCAGCGGCGCCGTGTTCAAGTTGCAGATGCGCCCCCTGTCGCTCCTAGCGTGGGCGGTCTCCAGCCTGCGTGACCGCAGGCGCGGCGCCTCCCGGGGGAGCGGCTGCGACTGCACGATCGCCGCCGCCGCCACCGCAGCTCGTCCGCTGTCGTCCTCGCTTGTTACCCTCATCTGGCGATGTGGCACCTCTTCCTGCCTCCCCCCCTCCCCCCTCCATCCCCCATCCCCCTCCCCCCTCCATCCCCCTCCCTCCCTCCCTCTCTCCCTCCCCCCCCCTCCTTTCCTGCTCCCCCCCCCTTCTCCCTCCTCCCCCACCCCATCCTATTTCGTCGGCATGCTGGGCTCAACGCCGCTGCGGGCCCCGCCGCGCGCGACCCGCATCCGACTCGGGCCGCGCACCCGCACGGCCTCCCTGCCGACCTGGCAGCAGGCGGACGGAGGCGGAGGAGAAGCAGCGACGGCTGGCCCCTCCGGAGCCCGCGCCGTCACAGAAGTGGCCCGCGGCGATCTCCCAGCTCCTGGCGGCGCATGCTGCCCGCAGCCTCGCGGCATGCCGCTCCGGCGCGGGGAGCGCCGAGCGCCGCCGAGGGACCGCTCTGGGCCGCCGCCGTGGAGCTCGGCTCGAGGGCGGCGCCGCCCCAGCGGGCGCCCGCGGCTGCGACGCCCACTCGAAGGCTTCCGCGGCCGCGCGGGCGCGCGGGACGCGGCGGCGGGACCTCGCCTGGCGCGCCGGCCGTCCACGGCGAGGAGGGGCAGCAGAGGAGAGGCCACGAAGGCGCAGCGGCGGCTGCAGGGCCAGGAGGAATGCTCAAAAGTAGTCTAGAAGTAGTCTTGGGACGATTTTTCGACAATGTTCCACTATTTTTGTGAACATGTCTGGGTTCTTTTTATTCAATCGCTTCGCTCATTCCGCCGGCCCATGTTGCATGATCGCTACTGCTTCGCCGTGGGCCCAGGGCCATTGTGGCGCCGCCGAGGAGGAGGAGGAAGATGAGGATGGGGAAGGGAAGGGGAGGAGGAGGAGAGGGTGAGAAGGAGAGGAGGAGGATGAAGATAAGTAGGAGGAGGAGGAGGAGGAGGAAGAGGAAGGGGCGGAGGAGGAAGCCTCTCGTTGGCATCTTGTGTTGCTCTTGGGGCCAAACAGGGTCGTCGTCAAGATGCTTCTTTGGGAGGGCTCTTGGGGTCTTTTGAGAAGCCGTTCGGCGGCGCCTGGGAGGCATTTTTGAAGCCTTCTGGGGCCTCTCTTGGGCCTCCTGGGGGCCTCCTGGTGGCCTCTTGGGGGCCTCTTGGCGGCGTCTTGGGGCCTCTTGGAGGCCTCTCGGGGCCTCCTGGGGCCCTCTTGGGGCGGAAGGCTTGGTTGTGCGTCGCACGTGATTGCTTTGAGGTTCTTTAGATGTTGCAGCCCTCCGGCAGCCCCCCATATCGCTGCTGGGGCTCAAGCTTTTCAGCGGGTATGCGAGCATACCCGACCAGCGCGATCGGCGCCGTGATCACGTTCCTGGCAGGGTTCGTGGCGCACGACTTGCCCTGGCCCGCGCTGGTGCACGAGGCGAGCGACCTGCCTTCGCGCAGCGGCCCTGGCCACGAGCTGGAGGCCAGCTCGACGAGCAGCACCTCCACGAGCACCAGCACTGTGCTGGTCTGCTCGTGCCCGGCGCCGCCGGCGCCGAAGGAGCCCGAGCCGGCGCCGCTTCGAGCGGCGGGCTCGGGAACCGGCGCGACCGTGGAGGTGCCGCTTGCTGCGGTGCTGGGCGGCGGGGCGCTGGCGACGCTGGCCGCTGCTGCTGGCTATCGGAGCCGAGTGGAGGACCACGCAGCGGCACGCAAGGTGCTCGAGCCGATAGGTGAAGCTCGGATCCACCTGGCCTAGCTGAGTGACGATGGCTGACGACCGTGCTTGCCCTGGGCTCAGGGTATTGGTGACGTGCAGTGACGACCCGGGCTGGACGCACGAGCGTGTGTTGTTGTGGCCCCACAATGAGGCTCGCACTAGCTGGCAGATCTACACGCCCGGCAACGATCTGTATGCCGAGGACTTCGGCGACTACGCATCGCTCATCCCGATGACGGGGCGGAGGCGGTATCCCCCGGGTGTCAGGAACGTGGTGGCGTTCAACAGGCCGCTGCAGACGGCCGAGCTGGTCTCGCTCATCAAACGTGGTCGGGGCGAAGCCGTCCTCGAGCACGGGCCGCCAGCGAACGGCTGGTGGGCCGGCGCCGGCCAGGATTGGCTCGGAGGCAGGATGGACATCCCCGCGCCGACGGCCGTGGAGGTCCCTCGCGTGCGGCGCCGCCTCCGCAAGAAGGGCGTGGAGGTGCAGACCGACCTCCCTGTGCTCGTTGATGGAAGCCCGCCGCCCCCGCCGCCGCCTTCGGAGCGGCCGCCAGGATAGTGGGTGCGTTGCTCGCTCGAGGACAGCAATTTCGGCCAGATGGTGCCCCTCTCCGCGGCTGCCATCCTGCGGGGCCGCTATGGGCTCGACAGGGATGAGATGGGCGAGTGGCGGCTCATAGAGTATGTGGAGGACGAGCAGGCCAACAGCTGGCAAGATGACAAGCTGACGGCGGCGGATCGGCAGCGACCTCCCCGAAGCGGCCTCGGGGATCGGCTCTTCGGCGGTGGCGGAGGCGGCACCGCTACGCCCCCTGCGGAGCCCACGGCTGCGGACGTCGTAGCTGGCCCTGGCGAGGAGCAGGCTGAGGATTTACGCACGTGCTGGATCGATGTTGACGAGACGGGCTCGAGGTTCAAAGAGTGGCGCAAGGTAGTGCAGGAGAGCTCGCAAGAGGTGTTCTCGGACTCAAGCCTGCGCGGGCCGCCGGCTTGCCTGGAGGTGTGCCGTAAGATGTATCGCCACGGCGGCACGCCCAAGATCTGGTTCCAGGAGTGGTGCAAGGAGACGGGGATCTCTCGCCGGGACCGCGCCGACCACGAGGTGCAGACTCTCATCGAGCGTTTGTACCTCGCGGGCACCTACGGCCAGGTGAACATGGGAGCGCTGGCGTCACTGGAAGTGATCGCCCGCCGGCTGCTGCAGTATACGGAGGCGTACTCACACAGTGCCGACCACGCGAACTGGGCGGCGGCAAAGCAACTGGCGGGGACTACGAACCCGCTGGACCTGGTGCCCGAGGCGCTGCGCAGCTACGCCAGCCGGCTAAGCAAGGAAGAGCACGAGCTAGAGGCGTTGCGGGCTCGGGCCAAGACGCCTACGGCACCTTCGGCTGAGGGCGGTCGTGGCGCTGCGGCTGCCGCGGTGGACGCTGGCGGCTTGCCGCTCGGAGGCGGCGCTGGAGGTGACGGAGCTGGAGATGCTGCTGATGCTGGTCGTGGTCGTGGCCGAGGGCGAGGCGGGCGGGGCCGTGTCTCCCGCCCGCCGGCCTCGTGACGTCCGTGGCGGAGGGGGGCGGGCGCCCGACCGCCCCCCGCAGATCGAAGGGCGCCAGTGGGCTTCGCGGCGCTTCCTTCCTGCCGCTGGCCCCCCTGAGCGAGCTGCCTCCCGAGTGGTGCGAGGGGCTCAGCGCGGCGCAGCGCCGGCGCTGGCTGCGGGGCGGCAACGCTGCCTGCGAAAGCTTGAGTTACTTGCATGGAGGCATCCACCGAGGCGGTCGGGCACCAGTGAGCTCGGCCAGCCAGATGAAGATGGACGCCATTTCGGCGGACGCGCAGCAGCGCGTCTTCTCGGCGGCTCGCCAGTGGATAGACGTTGACAGCGCCGTCAGTGAGGAGGAGGCCTTTGCCAGGCTTCTTAAGGGCAAGGCGGGGTACGCCCCCCTTGGCTCGACCAGCATGGGCTCCTACGAGTACTCGCGGGTTAGTTTGCCAGACAGTGTCGTGGACGCGCCGTCGCTGGCCTCCATGTTCCCCGCGCAGGCAAGGCAATACCTCGAGGAGCTTGCTTCCAGGATGCTGCTGCCGCCTCGGGAAGCAGCCCTAATGCGAGAACTTGACGGACTACCTGGTTGTCACACCGATCCTCTGTTGCTGCAACGGCCGCGGAGCTATGGGAAGTTCGTGCGGCGAGCGCTCTCGATAGGTCTAGTCACTTTGACACGGAGGCCTAAGAGCGTGCTTGGTTTATTTTTTGTGAAGAAGAAGGATGGGGCCCGCCTTCGCTTCATCGTCGACTGCAGGCGGAGCAACGCCTTGTTCCGCCCTCCTCCTGGGGTCGACCTGCTGTCGGGCGAGGGGCTCGGCCGCGTAGAGATGCCCATCATGGGGGACTCCGACTTCGCCGGGCTCTGCGCGGTGCTTGGCGTGGGTGACGTTGCCGACTGCTTCCACAGGATGAAGATGCAGGGCGACATCAGGCACTATTTTTGCTGGCCACCGCTGGATGCTGCTTTGACTGGAAAGACACTGGTTGAGGGGCGCCCTGTGCACGCTGGCGAGCAGGTTTGGCCGATGAGCCAGAGCCTGCCTATGGGCTTTTCTCGGTCCTTATACTTCGCCCAGGCCGCCGACCAGCGCAGGCTCGATCGACAGCCGTCGTTGGCGGGTAGCCTGCGGCTGAGCGATCGCGGGCCGCCGCTAGTCCTTGGACAGGGCGCCGCGGGCTCGGAGCCGGGCCATTACATGTGCGTCGACAATGCCGGCGTGATTGGTGTCGACGCAGCGCGTGTGGCAAGCGCGTTGCAGGAGGCCCAGCGTGATTTCGATGGCGATCACCTGAAGTTCCACGAGGTCGAGGTGCTGCCAGAAGGGGGTCGTACCCTGGGCTGCTACCTCGACGGCAGGCGCCGAGCGACCCGCCCTACTGACGAGAGGTTCGCCATGGTGCGGAAAGGGTTGAGGTGCCTCTTGAGGAGACGCAAGGTGGCCGGCTGGCAGCTGGAGATGGTGCTGGGGCACATGACCTTCATGGCCCTGGTTCGCCGCGAAGTGCTGTCCATCTTCCACTCGGTATATGCTTTTGTGGCGCAAAGCTACCACGCCTTCTCCGTGCTGTGGCCCACCGTGCGCGACGAGCTGAACTGCTACCTGGGCATCATGGTGATGCTGGAGTCGAGCTGGACGAGGCAGTGGGCGCCAGTGGTCTACTCCTCCGACGCCAGCCTGTGCGGCTACGGCGTTGCGGAGGCCTGCTTCGGGGCCGAGGCCGTGGCGGAGGTTGGCCGCGTGTCGGAGCTGGCGCGGTGGCGGCTGGGTGCTGGGCTGGCGAGGCAGCATGCCTTCGAGTGCGCCGGCTTCCTCTTGGATAGCGAGACCGGCGAGGTCGTCCGAGATGAGGCGGGGGCCCCGAAGCGGCTGGACGCCGAGCTCCAGCGCGTGCTGGCCAGCGAGCGCTGGGAGCTGGACCCGAGCTTCCCGGAGGTGCCCAGCTGGCTCCTGCACGACTCGCATTGGGCCACGGTCATGGCCGATCGGTGGGCGTTCGCCGACGATATCCTTAGACTCGAGGCACGAGCGCTAGTGAAGGCTGCAGCTCGTGCCGCGCACTGCCAGCCTGTAAAAGAATGCCGCTCTCTTTTGCTAGGAGATAATCTCGCTGTCGTGTTGTGTTTTTGCAGGTTCAGGTCCAGGGATTTCCGGCTTCTAATTCAGGTCTGCCGTTTTGCTGCTCTGTGCCTTGCTAGAGAGATTAAGTTTGTTGTTCGTTGGATCCCGTCTGAGTTCAACTCTGGCGACGAGGGAAGTCGAAGGTTCGATCCAGCCTACGATGCCCAGAAGTCCTTCGTTACCCATCTTGGCTCGAACTCGCTGTCACCCCAGGTCCCTGCGAGCCCCGTCGATGCTCCCGCGGCGGGGGCCCGTGGCAGGAGAGAGCAGTCGGCGGCTGACGCTGAGCCGACCTGCGGTGCCGACGCCAGCCGTCCCGCTCGAGACGGGCCGGAGGTGGACTCGGACGCTGGGCAGCCCTGGCCGCCGACTGGAGTCAGGGGAGCCGCCGGCGACGCAGAGGCCCCGCTCGGTGGATCAGAGCCGCGGGCTAGCCGCGAGGCTGGTGCTGGAGGGCGCTACCCGACCGCCGCGGCAGAGCTCAGTAGCTGCTTGCTTGCGGCTGAGCCCCGGCGAACCCCGCCTGGCCGACAAGGCCGTTGCAGGCCACGGGGTTGCCGAGGTCGCGGCGGAGAGCGAGAGCGTCGTAAGCAGCGACGCCGAGGGGCCGCCGGCTGCTGCGCGCTCCCGAAGGCGTTTGGAGCCGCGCGGGAAGGCGCAGCTCAGGAAGGCGATCGGGGCGCTCGAGACCGCAGAGTCGGGCAGGGACGACGTGAAGTTGAGCGTCGGCTACCCCGGGAAGAGATCGGTGGGGACGGGCACTTTGGAGACCTACCGCCAGTGCGTGCTCGCATTCTGCGCCTGGGCCCGCTGCTGCCTCGCAGCCCTGCCCGAGCTCATGGGGCTCGACGGCCAGCTGGTCGAATGCATGAGCGAGAAGTCCTTGACGGGCGTCGAGGGCTGGCGGGGCGGGAAGCTGCTGGGCGGGCTGATGTTCTTCCACCCGGACTTCGGCCGCCTGGGTGGGCTACATCTACCGAGATCACTGCGCTGCCTGGGACGGTGGGAGGAGCTTTCACCATCTCGATCTCGGAAGCCCTTGGTGTCCGCGATCTGGTCGGCGTTGGCAGTGGACCCCTGCCACCTGGGGGCGCCCCTGGTAGGCGCGATGGTGCTGATCATGGTGGAGCGCCCCCTTTCGGCCAGGAGAGATGCTGAGCCTCACGAGCGGCCCATTTCTAGCGCCGACGGAGCATGCAGTGCAGATCTGGATTGTATGGCTGTTTCCAAGGGCTTGGGTGGCTCTCAGCAAGGTGGGGTCAGCGGACGATACCATCCCTTGCGAGTCAGGACGTCTGCCGTGGACGTGTCACATCTTCAAGGCCTTGAAGGATCGTCAGCCTTCCCAGCCCCTCCTGGACTTGAGCTACCCGCAGTACTCGACCCTCTTCCGGAGAGCGGCCACGCACATCGGAGCCGACGTCGTCACATACCAAGGCCGGCACAGCGGCGCATCGCTATGTTGGGCAACGGGACGACGCTCTCTGGGGGAGGTGCAGAGAAGAGGGCGATGGAGGCCGATGACTTCGATGAAGAAATACGAAAAGTCAGGACGACTGAACGAGGGCCTGGGGAAGCTGGGCGATGCCTCCATGGCGCACTGCGCCGCGGCGGCGAAGCTGGCGCAGGCTGTGCTGCTGCTGGGGCGGCCCGCGCTCGTGCCGCCGTTCGGCGGCCTCGAGGGCTTTCGCGAGCTCCGCTGAGCTCGCAACTGGCCGCTGCTTCTGCGCCGTATCTGCTGGACCTCTTCTCTGGCGGGGGCGGAGTCGGAGGCTTTGCCAAGCGACTGGGCTTCAATTCTGTGTCGTTGGACCTGCGAAACGGGAAGGATCAGGACGTCTGCAGTGCCAATAATCTAGATGCGATTCTCGCCCATTTTAGGGCTGGGCTTGTCAAGGCAGTCATGTTGGCACCTCCTTGCTCTTCGTTCTCTCTGGCTCGGAACAGATATCCTGTCAGAAGTGCGCAATCGCCAGAGGGCCTGCCATCCCTGCGCCCAGCCGACCAGACTACGGTCAGGATAGGAAATCTCTGTAAGCGTGTGGCTGTGTACATCGTTCAGTTGTGCCAGGTTTTCGGAGTGCCGTTCGCCTTTGAGAACCCACAGACTTCGTATATGTGGCGATGCCGAGATATCATGAAGCATGTTTTAAGCTGTAGCCGCACTCTGGATCTGCATCAGTGCGCTTTCGGATCCAGGTGCCGGAAGCAATTTGGCCCTGGGATGTGTCGCGGAAGCGGGAGATCTCGCTTTAAGCCACCCGGGTGCTCTGCGTTGTCGAGGCAAACACGGGTACTGTTCCTTCAGGCCTGGCCATAAACATGTCGTCTTGGAAGGAAAGGCTATGACCTTGAAAGCCGCGGCGTGCCCCTTTCGCTTCGCTCGTTGGCTGTGCACTGTTCTGCTCGACTTGTGAACAAAGGTGATCGGCTTGTGGCATACCGTCTATTATCATATGCAGAGGTTGACGCCTTCCCCGACATGCGCTGAATGGTCTGTACCGCTACGCTGAGAACTTCGACTTTGCGAAAATGTTGGAGTGTGCTCGCCGTTTGCACGTCTCGTTAACCTGGTCGCGACCATATGGTATCAGAGTTCACCACGGAAAAGACGTCAGAGCATGGTTGTGCGTCGCACGTGATTGCTTCGAGGTTCTTTAGATGTTGCAGCCCTCCAGCAGCCCCCCATATCGCTGCTGGGGCTCAAGCTTTCCCACCCTCAGCCACCCTGGACCTGCCCTATATAGTGCACGCCCCTTTTAACTTTCTTCACACCCTCCTCTCGTCAGGAGTGTGCTCGCCGTTTGCACGTCTCGTTAACCCGGTCGCGACCATATGGTATCAGAGTTCACCACGGAAAAGACGTCAGAGCACGAGTTTTCGGTTCGTGCTCCCCCTCTTTGGCCCCTCTTGGGGCCGTCTTGGGCGCCTCTTGGGCTGTCTCGGGGCCCTCTTGGGCCTTCTTGGGGCCCTCTTGGAAGCCTCTTGTCCCGTCTTGGGGCGCTCTTGGGGGCCTCCTGGGCCGTCTTGGAGCATCGGATGGCCGAAAAGGCGACAAGGCCAAAATCCTTCCAAAACCATCGTAACATTGCTTGGAGGCCTCTTGGGCCGTCTTGGGGTCATCATCGGCGTCTTGGAGCGCTCGTTGGGCGTCTCGGGGGCCTCTTGGGCTGTCTTGGGGCCTCTTGGGGCACTCTTGGCGCGCTCTGGGGGACCTGAGAAGCCACACCCAGGAGGAAAACCATCTCTGAGTAGCAGTTGCCGGGCTGCGGTCGGGCGGCGGTCGGGGTATTTTTCGCCAGGGGACCCCCAGGGACCGCCCCGCGCGCGCGAACTGGAAATATTGTTGTAACCAATTACCGGAGATCTTAGCACGCCTCTGGCCCGTTGGGCCGGCGATTTTTTTTGAATTTCGCCCAACATCCGTCAGGAGGGGAAGAAACACACAGACACAATTAATCCTCGACCCCCCAGAAAATATGGGAAAATATGGAAAGTGGGGGGGGAAGGCAGAAACCCAGAAAATGTTGGAAAATATAGGGAATCTTGTTAGTTGTGTGTATTTATTTGTGTGTCCTGGGGCCCCTTCAATCCGCCTGTAGGAGGACGTGCCCGACCTAAGGGCAGGGCGGGGGCCCAGGCTCCACGGCGGCAGCGGCGGCTCCCGGGACATGGCTGCCCTTGTGATGTTCCAGCCTGCTTTAGCCTTGACCGCCAGAGAGGATTTCGAGCACCAAAACAGTACCAAAACTCCAGGGTTTTCACGTGTCGGGCCCTGGGAGACACTCGTCCGACATTGTTTCGACACTCTTTCGACACTTTTCTTCGGCGTCACCCCAACCTGTTTATACTGTATGTGCGTCGCCCCCCCAGGGGCGACGCGCGCCCCGAGAAATCTTATAGTATATGCGTCGTGGCGGGCGCTTTCTGGCCACACCGCTCGGGAAACGATACACTACAAGATGGGTATACTCTATATGTTCGGGTCGGACGCGCTCCTCCAAGGAGGACAGATAGTATTAGTTTGTTCCTGTGCGTCCCATCTTCTGGGTGCTCGAAATCATCTCTTGGATGTGGCCCTTAAGCACGATGGGAGCAACACGAGGTCGCCCCAACGGGCAGCCCCAGGGGGCCTCGTCGACGCCTGGGCGGTGCTGCCCCTGCAGGGCCGTGGCTCGGCCAGGAGCGCGAGCTCGCCCCGGCGCTGCCGCCGTGGCACGGAGGGGTCGCTTGCCCGACAGCATCGTCGCCCGGGGGCACGTCCGCGACGCGACGCGCTTGTAGGGGACCGCATGCGAACCCTACCCCGACCCCCACGATTTCTGAGGCGGAGGGTGGGCTTCACTTCGCTCGGGAGCCATGCGCAAGAGAAGAGTGAACCTTCGCCGGGGTGACCTTTGGTGCGAGCCTACCGGGGTCCCCTTGGCAGTGGCTTGCACGCGTGGACATGGCCCCCCGCGCGGCCCCCTGAAACCGCGCACCAAAGATCAGTGCTGCCTAGGGCCACTCGGTCTTGCGTGGAGGCAACACGCTGGTTCTTTTGAGGCGAGGGGTTGGAGAAATTCTTCGCTGGGAGGCGACGATGAGGGGCGAATAGCCAGTGGCGGGCACTGCACGCACTCGCTCGGCAGCCTCGCTGAAGACACGGACCATCGGCGTCCCTGGACACACGGTACTGCTCACCCCTGGGCTGTTCGCCCCCGTCGTCGCCCCCGACTCGCGCCAGCGTCCCCAGAGACCGCGGGGCGCGGGCAGGGCGGCACTGCCTCCAGCGCTGGGCAGGGGCGACCGCAGGCCCACCCCCCGTCCACGTCGCTCGCTTCGGCAGGGGCAGGCAAGCCCGTCCTCTCGGCGCTCGGCGCGCCGAGGCTTGCCGAGGCCTGACTCGCTCAGTGCCTGGCGATCCCCCTCCCTTCGGCGGCGAGCGAGGGGGGGGAAGCGAGAAGGAGCAGACCCTCTCGGAAGGCGGCGGGACGTCTCCCCCGCGCCCTCCGAGAGGTGCCGCGGCATGGCGTGCAGTTCTGAAGCCGAGTTCCGCCGCGCGCCCCCCCCTGACTTGTCTCGCTCGCCTCCGCCGCCACTCCTCCCTCGCCCTTCCTGCGCGCGACGCGTGGCCGAGTCCCGCCGGCCCGCGGGCAGCCAGGACGGACGTGCGCGCGCGGCAGAGAGAGGGAGAGCGAGGGAGAGCGGGAGGGGCCCGATGTCTGGGTTGTCGGCCGCCTTGGGCTCCTGAACGCGGCTTTCGTCGCGCAGGCACTCGAGGAACTGCGAGTCTCGGGGTAGCCCAGGTGTCCTTGCCGGCAGCCGAGAAGAAATCGATTCGACCCTTGACCAGGAAGCCTCAACAGATTTCAGGGCCAGGTTTCGTGCAGTGGTTCTTTTGTGCGCTTGCCTGGGCCGTAGTCAAGAACTTGTATCAAAGAGTCTGCGCATCCTTACCTCTTCGGCGCGTCGTAAGCCACACATCCCATCATTGGTGGCCTGGCACCGCAGCAATTGCTTCCGCGTGTCATCACGCCTATGGCGAATCCCCGCCGCCCCCTGCCTTCGGACAGTGCCCATGTCGTGAGATGTCGCGCAGAAGTGTTGCCACACTAGTGGACCGCGTGTTCTCCCATCTGGTGCAAGGGCCTGTGGGGCCTTCTTTGGGGCGTTTTGGGCCGCTCTTGTGACATCTCGGGCCTTCGGGGGCCGTCTGAGGGCATCTACGCCGCGTCTCGGTTTCGGGGGCCGTCTTGGGCGCCTGTTCGGGCCTAAATTGGGCCGCATTTGGACCGTAAGGTTGCTCCAGGGTGTGTGCATCTTGGGCCGAATCTGAAGGCACCAAAGACGACGCGAAAGGCTCCAATGACATCCTCTTGAACCCTCTTTGACGATCATGACAATATTGGGGCCATCTTGGAGGCAATATTGGGGCCATCTTGGAGGCAATCGTCGACTTGTCCTGGGACATCTTGGAGGCCATGCGGGACTCCATACTGCGGGCGTCTGATAACAAAAGAAAACAAAAGGCTTTCCAATATTCGGTGCCGCAGCAGTTGAGAACCTCCTCGGCAGGCTGGGTCGACGTTCGCTGAAAACCTCTTGAAGCGGCCAAGCAGACAAGTTACGCGCCGGTCGTTGAAAGTAGGCATGTCTGGATTCACAGATCCGAATCTATTTCGATCGCCTTGCGATTTCAATGATCGATGTGCTTTGGCTACGTTGTGCTATTCTCTGAGAGGGCCTGAGCCCAATCTACTTGATGTGTTTACCTACTGTATTTCTTGCCCTTCTACTTCATGCTTTTACCTACTTTATGTTTTTGCCTACTGTACTTCTTCCGACTGACCGCGGGCCGCGGGGCCGGCGGATCCCGTGGCCTTCGGCCCACCCCGCCGCCGTGCCGCGAGCAAGAGGCGTATCGGATGCCCCCGAGCAAGGGGCAGCTTGGGATCCTCCCTTTCCCTGGGCCGATCCCGTGGCGCTCGGTCCATCCCGCCACCGTGCCCGGGTCGCGTACACGAGGCGTAGTGGAAGCCCGTTGGGGCAGCTTGGGATCCTCCCTTCCCTGGGCCTCATGGGCGCTTCTTGGTGCAGTCGGACCGAGGTGCAAGACCGAGGTCGGTTCGGGGAGGGTACCCTGGCGTTCTTCGTGTTTGTTGGATGCTCTTGTGCATCCCAGGGAGGGTACCCTTGGATGTTCTGTGTGTTCTGGCTGGCGGAGGGTCTCATGTTCTTGAGGGATGTCTTTCTGGCCAGGTCCGACGGTACACTGCCGGGGGCCTTCAGTAGGCCTCTGGGGTTGTTGACCGTCTCTGGGGCCATCTTGGGGCGGATGGTGCACTGCTGGGGGCCTTCAGCAGGCCTCTGGGGTTGCTGACCGTCTCTGGGGCCATCTCGGGGCGGATGCTCCAATTGGCAGCCCGAGCTCCCCTCTTGGGCCTCCTTGGCGGGTCTCTTGGAAGCCTCCTGATCCCTTCTTGGGGGCTTCGGAGGCCCTCTCGGGCAGGCACTCGGGGCTCGGGGCCGTCTGCGTCGCCCCGACCACGGGAGGCCGCCGAGTGCATCACACAGAGGCGTGACGATCCAGAAGGCTACCGAGTGCTCCTGAGCTTTTGCGAGCGTTGCTCGTCGGGCTCTGCAGGGGTGTGAGAGTCGGCTTGGGCGGGTGCGGCTTCCCAGAAGCCCGCGCGACAGACGCCAGAAGCGTCCCGGAGCGTGCCCGCTGATTCCGGCAAGTTGGTGCTCTCGGCCCTTCGGGATCCTACGCTCCGCTCGCTCACATTTGTGTGAGCACGAATTACGTGCTGAAAGCACTGCGACGGGCCCTTGCTACGGGTTATGATTGCGTCCCTTGTGAGAGAGCATCGCGGAGGGGCGAGGATGGTTGCTGAGATGTTCTGCGGCTCTCGGGGCCAGTCACCCTTCCAACGGCTTGAGCCCGACGAGAGCTCAGAATGGAGGAAGGCTCGGTGAGACTGCGCGCCTGCAGGGGCGACTCCTCGCTCTGCGGGTGGGTTCGATCCAGCAGACTCGACCACACAACCTGTTCGATCTAGTGCGTCCTTTGGGCTGCCATGGCGGGAAGGACTCGTCCAGGCCAAGGCTCCCAGATTCGTCATTCAATTGCGCACGTCACGATAAGCTGGCTGCGTTGAAATCGACCTGGAACGTGCCCAGCAGGGCCACAGGAAATCCGGAAAAGAGAAAGATGGATGGATGCGAAGGGGAGCAGGAAGAGGGCGGATTGGACTAGGGTGGGGCGACTGGTTCTGATTTGGGCGGGTATGGCAGGTTTGCTCCAGCGGCGCTTAAGTTGAACGCCGACTGGCCTGGAGCTGGCCGATGCCGAAAGATCTGAGCTTCCAGAACGCCGCGATCGTTCGAGGAGGAGCGATCCACGCGGTGTCAGAGACCAGCGAGGACGCCATCGCGGCGCAACCTTTGCCGTAGTTGCCAGGACTGGCTTCTCGCTGCTCGCGGGCGGGGCCGCCCATTGGCGCCCAGGAGATCGAGAGGCCGCACGGTCGGTTGGCTCTGGTGGTTCCCACGGCTGCTGCCCGCGGGTTCTTCCGAGGCTCTTGCCTATGATCTTCGCGGTGGCCACCAAGCGCACCGGCATGGGCGCGGTCCCGCAGGACTCTGTGGCCTCCCTGCTGGAGGGTCAGGGCAGCTACCTTGAGGCGCGATTGGCCCCCATGGCGGCCCATGAACGCTTGGGGGCTCCAGGGATCCTCTTGAATCGAGAAAGGGAGGGCTTCCAGGAGGAGGAGGAGGAGGAGGAGGACCTCCGGTTTCCGAGAGACCCTCTAGGTGTTCTACCAGAAGGATCTTCTCTTCAGCCTCCCCTTGGTCCTCCCTTTCCTGCTCCTCGTACTCCCCTCCTTCGGAGATCCTCGTCCAAGGTCCAAGGGCGTCGGGGCAAATGAGGCAAATACGCATTCCGCCTCATTCCTCCGCCTCCCCAACCGCTCGCCCGGGCAACAATTGTCACGGGTAGCTGTCTGTTTCTCTAGGGGGGGGGGCAGAAGTTGTCCGCCTGGGCGGGCGCCTGCAGCAGCACCATCGGAGCCTCGCTGTCGTTCTTCCGCCTCTTCCTCCTCCTCCTCCTCCTCCTCCTCCTCCTCCTCCTCCTCCTCCTCCTCCTCCTGCTCTCTTGCCTCCACCCAGAAAATGAGGCGAGGCCTCGCTGTGCCCGCCGACGGTGGCCCGGCCTTGCCCTGCTGCTCTCTGCAGCAGGGCGGCGCCCGGCGTGTGCGCCCCGGAGCGGGCCTCTCCATTCGGGAGACTCTTCATGGGGGGGGATCCCATGGGGGGATAGGATCCCAGGGGGGGGATCCCATAGGGATCCCCCCCCATGGAGAGTCTCCCGATCCATTGGGCCCGGCCGGTAAACTGCATGGAGCGGCCAGTGCGGTCAGGCAGCAAACACCAGGGCTGGCTTTCCGCCCGCCCTCGGGCCACGCATCGGCGACGCATTGGCGGTGCGACGCGATTCTCCAGCCCCATCTGCTCGGACCCCATGCAGGAGGCCTCTAGTGCGCCAGGGGGAGATGTGCACCGATCTTGGGCCCAGGATCGGTCTGGCCGCGATCGGTATCAGTGTACGTAATAGTTGTCGCCGCCCCAGATCTCTTCGTGGAGCCAGGGCGCACAGTGAGGGCGCAGTGCTTCACCCGAC